CATCTGATACTCTTAAAACTGACTTTCCAGTTACTGACAGCATTCCAAGGATCAGGAATCCCTGTCTTTTATTGTGAAACTCAGGAATTTCTGCCATTACTGTGTATAATCAACAACCAAATCACCAATCATCACCATATTTTTATTCATCTACCTTCCATGGCAAGGTGAGGGGGAGTCAGTCCAATGTCTGAAGGAAATGATAAATTCCAGAATCAGTAATACAAAGAAGAAGCCACTTGAACTTCCTTATTACATTTTATTAAGCTGCTCCAGACCAATTATAACCATATTTCTTTGTGGTCTAATTAGGTTTGACTCAGTTGCACAGTGTGGAGGCCTGTAATGAGTGAACACATGAGAAACACGGCTCAGACTCCATGTGAGGGATCATTAATATGCTCCGGGCTGCTGCTTTGCAAGAGACTGCACCTAATTACGTGGGTTAACACACTTAAACTAAATGGATGAATTGCAGCCATTTGCAGTGTTTCAAGTCCCCTCAGACTGACAGAACTGTAGATTAATAAGTTGTTAGAGTGATCTGTTGACCTGCCCCGTAGTTCTTCACTTTCACTTCATATGCTCGTGGAGGCACTAAATGCTAAAGTGTAGAAATGTGTCAATCACTGCATTTCAATTTTGTGCCTTTCTCTGGCTCTTGCCTAAGAAATGATCCAAACTGGTGAAACGGGAAAATGCAATGCCTGACACATCCAATGAACTTCACTTGACTTTGGGTCAAAATGCACCATGCACAGGAGGTAATAGGTCCCCTTGCCAGCATAAAACAGCTTAGGATAAAGACTGAAGTCCTCTCAGCTGTCTGTGGCTGCCTAAAGCCAGGGCAATCATACAATCACACAACAGTTTGGGTTGGAAGGGACCTTAAAGATCATCCAGTTCCAACCCCCATGCCATGGGCAGGGACACCTTCCACTAGCCCAGGTTGCTCCATCATGGCCTTGGACACTTCCAGGGATGGGGCAGACACAGCTTCTCTGGGCAACCTGTGCCAGGGCCTCCCCACCTTCACGGTAAAGAATTTCTTCCTAATATACAAATTAAATCCAATATCTGATCTAAATTTACTCTCTTTGGAGTGTATACCCTCCATAGAACAGAGGCTGTGAAATTATGATGAGATGGAAAGGGTGTATTGGGACAGAGTGCTAACCACCTCTTTTTTGGTGGAAGAAAAAAAATGGATATGAAATTATAGTCATAGGACACAAAATCAACGCAAAAAAAGTCCTGGAGTTTTTGTTTTTTGGTTTTTTCCTTTCTCAGTTGGTAGCAGACCTTTGAAACTCCTTTACAAGCCACACCACCACCAGGAAACTCTCTTAATGGAAAAAATTTCGAATGCAGACTGCAAAGCTATTAGGGAGAAAAAATTATAGGTACTTTTTCTGTCCCTTGGTTACTTGTTTATGGCCAGTGATGGAGACAGAATATCAACTGATAGGGGGCTTTGAGATAACCACCAGATCTGTCCTACCTCGTGGTGATGAGGACATGGAATGCTCCTCAAGGCTTCCTTCTGGTTAGCTCAAGCAGCTGCCTTCCCAGCACAGTCGATTTCATAAAAACATGGGATATCCTGAGTTGGAAGGGATCTAAAGGATCATCAAAGTCCAGTTTCTGGATTTATATATCCCATGCAAGTTTTCACATGTGTCATAAAAGGGGACAAAAGGTCAAGAAATTGTTGAACAGTGGATGGTACAACACTATCAGTTTTGACACCTATTTCCTTTTGTGGACCCAACTCTGAGGAACAGTCCTCATTTACAAATATCTCAGATCTGAGAAATTTCACTGGCTCCTGAAGGGCTTGTCAGTGACAGCAAGAGACACCCAAACATGTTTGTTTTCTCATGTTCACATTTGTCCTTAAAGCACTAGAGACAAAACTGTTTCCTATTCCACTCCTGCCTAAAATGACCTGACAACTTAATAATTGAACTGGGTACTTAGCTCACCATGCTGCTGATGTGCCTCTTCTTAATTGATTTTGTCAGGATCTTTTTAACTTCTGCTGTTGCCAGAAAAGAGGTTTATTAGAATTTTCCCCTCTCATATCCTGTTCTCACATTAACCCTCTGTGTCATGGTGGTTTGCAGGATCTGCCCAAATTGAACTGCCTGATGTTGAAAAGCTTTGAGGTCCTTGCCTCTGCCAGTGATATTGTAAAGAAGAAGAAACTATGCCTGTATTTTCTCCCAAAGCATCAGTAGCATGAACAGCTGCTTAATGGCATTGTTAGATATATTTTCCACGGAGAAGGCAAAGGAAAATGTGCCCATGAAGTGAGTAAAGCAATAGAAAACATATCTTCACTTGCATTTGGAACTGAAGTTGCAGTTGATGGCTCATTGTCCAAATGGAGATTAGCAACAAGTAGTGTCCATATTGGACCCAGTGCTGTTTAATATCTTATTATAAATGACATAACAGCAGGATTGAGTACACCCTTCAGCAAGTTTGTGGATGACAGGGGAGAGAAAACATAAAGAACGACTTGTGGGTTGAGACAAGGATAGGGAGGGATCACTCACCAGTTACTGTGCTGGGCAAAACAGACTCGACTTGGGGAAATTAGTTTCATTTATTGCCAATCAAATCAGAGCAAAATAATCTGAAATAAACCCAAACCTTAAAACAACTTCCCATCACCCTGCCCTGCCTTCTACCTGCACTAAACCTCACTCCCCAGTTTTCTCTACCTCCTCCCCTTCAGTAGTGCAAGGAGAGGGGAATGGGGCTTGTGGTCAGTTCGTCACACATCTCTGCTGCTCCTTCCTCCTCAGGGGGAGGACTCCTCACACTCTTCCTCTGGGACTCCTCCACCTAGGGTCCCTCCCATGGGAGAAATTCTCCATGAACTTCTCCAATGTGAGTCCTTCCCACAAGCTGCAGTTCTTCACAAACTGCTCCAGTGTGGGTCTCTTCCACTGGGTGCATTCCTTCAGGAACAGGCTGCTCCAGCATGGATCCCCCACAGGGTCACAAGTCCTGCCAGCAAACCTGCTCCAACATGGGCTCCTCTCTCCACAGCCCCCAGGTCCTGACAGGACCCTGCTCCACTGTGGGGTTCTCCACGGGCTGCAGGGGAATCTCTGCTCCAGCACCAGGAGCACCTCCTGCCTCTCCTTCTTCACTGCCTTGGGTGTCTGCAGAGTTGTTTCTCTCACGTATTCTCACTCCTCTCCTCTGACTGCTGCTGCTGGTGTTCCACTGGAAGTTCTTTTTCCCAGCTTCTTTTGCATGTTATCCCAGAGGTGATACCACCATTGCTGGTGGGCTCAGCCTTGGCCAGTGGCAGGTCCATCCTGGAGCCGTCTGGCATTGGCTCTGTCGGACACGGGGAAGCTTCTGGCAGCTCCTCACAGAAATCACCCCTGTAGCCCCCCAGCTACTAAAACCTGGCCACATAAACCCCATACACAACTCCGGGGTCCCCAGCTCAAGAAAGAGTTAAAAGAGTTCCAGGGGAGGGACACAAAAATGATCCCAGGGCTGGAACACCTGTCCCATGAGGAAAGGCTGGGAGAGTTGGGTCTGTTCAGCTTGGAGAGGAGAAGGCTCTGCACAGACCTTATGGCAGCATTTCAGTAGATAAAGGGAGCTTATAATAAAGACAGAGATGCTTTTTACCAGGGCGTGGAGCGACAGGACAAGGGGCAACGGTTTTAAACTGAAAAAGGGCAGGTTTAGATTAGTTTATGGTGAGACTGGTGAGGCCGTGGCACACGTTACCCAGAGAAGCTGCGGATGCCCCATCCCTGGAAGTGTTCAAGGCCAGGCTGGGACAGGGCTTGAAGCAACCTGCTCTAGTGGAAGGTGTCCCTGCCCATGGCAGGGGTTTGGACTAGAAAATCCTTGAAGGTCCCTTCCAACTCAAACCATTTTCTGATTCTACGATTTCACCTGAATATACTGTTTTATAGTAACCTCATGTTTTGTTTTGTTTTTTTAATAGCATTTGCCATTATAACCAAGTAACTCACAATATTATGTTTGTTGCCACATGATTTCACACTTGCTCTAGGCCAGACAAGCTCTACAGCTTCAGCAGAGAAATTCTTTACCTGGGTCATCGGTGCCAAAATCACGTGCTGTGTGAGCTGGCTCAGGGGAAGCTCAATCAGTCTGTGTCTGCACTGCATCACATTAATGAGGTAATCACTGAGCTGCTAATGAATGGGATTAGTGACTGGGCAAGGAGTGTTTGTTCTGGATCCCTTGTTCAAATGCAACTCGAAGCTCTCAAAATATTTGCTCGCAATCAGCCACGAGCTGGGCTCGGTTCAGCTCCCACTAACGAGATGAAAATGATTTTCATCACTGGAGGATTTGCCAAATGTGCTGATGGAGAAAGTCTGCACTTTGTGGTGGATAGAGGGAAGGAGTTCTATTTCACAAGTAAACTCTCTGAAGTAAGGTAAAGTGGTCAGTGTCATAATTCCTAATTTCACACCAGCACTAAGATTGACTGGGAAAAAAATAATATCACTCTATTAATTAGCTTTTCTTAATAGAAATTAACGGATATTTAATATTACACGTTACATTCCAATTATGTGGATTTTGTAGGATAAATCTAAAGAAAAACCACCAGAACCTGTGCCTTCTGTTTCTTCACCAAACCAAACTGCACTGATTTCAGAAGTTTCACAGCTTTGACCCTGAATGAGCTTAAGCACCTGCAAGATTTCTCTGAGCATTTTTTCTGCTCAATCTTTACTGAGGAAAGACTGTGTCAGCTTTTTGGAAAGGAAGAATGCAATTGAAATCAGTGCAGGCAGGAATCTAGTATAATATTTGTTATTCTTTTCTAAAGCTTCCCAGTAACCAAAAATCCATATAGAGGTAACTGATGTTTACTTTTTTTTTTTTTCTGGTGAGAAACATTTTTTGTCAAAAGAATAAAAAATATATTGTTTTGTTAAATTCCCTTCAATAATTCCTATGACATTTTAATTAAAACCATTTTTGAAATGCTTTATTTACTGGAGGAAAACTGCATTTATAACACACAACACACTTAAACGAGAATTTAAATGGCAGTTTCAATCATGTTGTCAGCAGAAAATATTGTAGGTGAGGATGGAACAAAATCCCAAATGCTGGTTGCATTGAAACCTATGAAATGGAATCTAATGCAAAATTTGGTGCTTTTTTTATGAGATACATTGCTTGATTTTTTTTAATAGATTAAAAGGTCTTTAAAAAATAGTAACAGCGTGCCTTGTTTATTTGATCTGCTCTTTCACTAGTTTTTCTCATAAATAAATGTGGTGTTCTGTGCATACAGTGGGATGAAATAAGCATCTAAGTGTTGTAAATGGCACATATAATTGTGGTCATGCTTAGCTCAGATCCAGCAGAGCAGAGTCTAAAGCAGCAGTGCACAGCAGGGGGGAGAATCTGAGCTAAATTAATCTTTAAATGTACAAAACCAGTAACAAACAAACAAAAAAAGAATCAGACAAAACACTTTGACTTTCATGGTTTTAAATGAGCAGAACTGGAGATCAGGAGCAGGTTAAAAACACAAACAATGGAGATGAATTAAAAGCTACTTATCTTACAGCACATTGTATAGCAAATCTGAAGGCAGAGGAACAGCATTCCCCAGACACGGGGGACGCAATTAAAATCTGAGGTAAGACATGTCTACAACGAAGGGGAAAAGAAATAGGCAAAATTATTCACAATGGTACCAACACACAGTATGAAATTTAGCTCTTTTTTCATACAATTTGTGTTTGTTGGTGTAGCAGGTTCGATGGGACGTGTCAGTAACGCAGACATGGACACAGGGCCTGAATGTGCAATGCCTGGAGAATCCATTCCAGCTTCCCAGGGGGATCACAGGCTCTGCAAAACCAAGAAGAACTGATAAGTACTTACAGGATTCCCAGAGAGTTTCTGATGTAAAGCTGTTACTGATGGAAGGTGGTTACTCAAGAGGGTCCCAGAGTGCAGAGTCAGCAACAAAGTAGATGGAAAATCAGAAAAGTGTATTTTTAGTGATTCCAGCCCAAGGTAGCTGTGGGAGTAGAAGGGGTAAGGACACTGGCCCAGGTTGCCCAGAGAAGCAGTGGATGTCCCATCCCTGGAAGTGTCCAAGGCCAGGTTGGATGGGGCTCTGAGCAACCTGGTCTAGTGGAAGGTGTCCCTGCACATGGCAGGGGGTTGGAATGAGATGATCTTTAAAGTCCCTTCCAACCCAAACCATGCTATGATTCTATGACTGAGAGTATACACAAAACAAATTCATAAAGAAAATACAGCATAGAGCTGCTGTAGCAAGGAAAAGAGTAGATTTTGTGCTGTTCTTCAATGCCAGCAGTTCCCATACCTGAAGAATATTGCATTTAGCTTTAAAAATACATTTTCCTGCAAAGCGGACAAAGTACAGAAGGCAGAGTGTGACACTGATGCACTTTGCAGGAGAGAATATAGCCAAGAAATCTCAGTCTCTTTCCCATTTTTCCATGCAATGAAAACCTTGGACACTTCTCCTGGCTAGGAAGACTCACTATGCCATGTGTAGATCTCCAATTAGAGAGCAAAATCATGTAAGTCTAAACTATAAAATGTTTACACCATTCATGTAGACAGTCAATAGAATAAAAAAAGAAAATTTTTGATGAAAGAGTATGCTGCTCTCCAATTACCATAAAAGAAGCCTCTTAGGACAGACATCAGCAGCAGAATAGCATCTCCAAGATCAGCACTATGGACTTCTGAGGTCAGATAAATTGTATTTTTGCATGCACCACCCCATGAAAAGGCCTCAGTGTTTGTGGTAACATCACCAGGAAATACATCTGCAGCCTTTTGAAGTGTTTGTGTTTATTCTACCTCTACTTCCTTAGTGAACGTTGTTTGTGTATCTCTGCAATGCAAGAAAATCTAGTTAAACTTGTTAACAAGGGTGAGAAAAGGAATGAAAAAATAGTCTGTTATTATTATTGAAGACATAATTGGTAACAAGATCTTTTTTTTCCTTTTTTTTTCTTTTTTTTTCTCTTTTTTCTTTTTTTTTTTTTAAATACAGGTGTAAGCCTTAGAAACACTCTTAGTTTTAATTATGCTTCACTGTAAACCAACAAGGTGTCAAAACAGACCAGACACCCACCTCCCTCAAAACAGCCAAACACAGACACACACATATTTTTATTTATGCTAATGTTCAAAATTGCTCATAATAAGATTAATTAGACAATATTCTGAAATCAGATGTCCACTGTGTGCTGTGCTGCATATACAAAGCATAGATGACAGTTCCTGCCTTGTATTCACATAAACACTCCAAAGAGGCAATAAACCCACTCTTACTTTAATAAGCAAGGCTATCCTGCAGATGACATTCATCTCAGCTAATTTAGAGGTGCAAGTACCTCCATCTGAGTATAATAACTCCCAGGCTCCAGGCTCCTATTACAGTAATTACAGATCTAATCAATACAGTCAAGGATTTTTAGGGTGGGGATCATTTAAATGAAGTCATCACCTGCATATTGGCCTAAATTTCAATGCCTGGTATTAGTTACAAAGGGATCTTCAGGACGACTTTCTCAGGTGCAGAAAGGTACACTTCGGACACCTACGTTTAGCTGCACAAATTCAGTAGCCAAAGTCCTTTTAATGTCACAAAAGGATGTGCTCAAGTCACTCAGATAAGTGGGGACACTCTGGAAAGTGAATGGACACCACTAAACATGTGACCTTTCCATCTGCATGGGAACCGTTCTCACTTGCCTGTTCACTCAGTGTTTCAAGGTACTTTTTAAAGAGGAAAAGCTGTAAGATGAGCCCTGAAGGTCCCCTCCAGCCCAAACCAATGTATGGCATTATGTAATCCTGTGATATTTCTACAGGTGCCAGTCATCAATATATTCACTGCACGTGCACGTCACAGAACCACAGAATGGATGGGGGGGGAAAGAGACCTCTGGACATGGAGAAGGGTGATCAGGGCTGTGTCCAGCTGGGTTTTGAATGGCTCCAAGGTTGGAGACTCCACAACTCTCAGCAAGCTGTTTTCCTGCTTAACCACTCTTATAATTAAAAAAAAAAGGTATTTTGTTTTGTTCAAACATTTTTTCATCTATTTCAGGTTGTGCTCATTGTCTTTTGTCCCGCCAGTGGAAACCACTGAGAAGAACCTGATTCCATCTTTTATACCTCCCTCAATCAGGTATATATATGTGGATAATATCCTCCTGAGCCTTCCCTTCCCCAGGCTGCAATCCCAGCTCTCTGAGCAGGAGAGAAAGGACCAAGTCAGATCCTGTGGACCTCGGATAAGATCTTATCTCCAAGGACTAGGACGAAGGGACCATATGTTGGACGTAAAAGCAAACCTTACTACCAGCATTGCTTTCAGCAGGCTCTGCAGTACTGGGAATTGTGGATCTTGATTTGCAGGCAGGGAAAATATTGCGAAAACCATTTAAATTAAAAATAGATAATCTACAGGCTTGGAGTGGAACAAGAGAGATTCGCATTTAACATTGCAAAAGCCATTTGAATTAGAAATAGATAATCTACAGCCTTGGAGTGGAACAAGGGAGATTCTCCAGACACAATCTAATTAAAGATATTCTGGGCCAACAAACCAACAGACTTAAAACATGTTTCTGGTTTATCTGAGGATAAAAATGAGTTATTATGAGTTACTGAGGAAGAGTTTGAGTTCTGCCATACTTTTAGGTTTTGATTAAAGATTTTTTTTGCTATTTGCTGTAGTAATAGTTATGCTGAGTTTAACAGTTCTAGTCCTGGACTATATAGTCTTGTGTTAGCTGCTGTACAAATAAAGAATTAGAAGGAAATTTCTAGAAAAAAAAAATTACGTTGGAGTAGATTTGGATTTATTTTTTATATTTGGGGAACTTTACTGGTAGAAACTTGGCTGACAAGGCTTTGTCTGTTTGTATTTCAGTGAATCATTCCTATTACCATCACAGTCAATAAAAGGAAACAGGCATATTTATCTTGATTTTTGTTTTTCGTGCAGAGAGGGCAAGAAAGAAAAGGGTAAATAAAAAAACCTAAACCCTGCTGCTATCAGGGTGCTAAAATTACTCTTCTGTGCAGGCTGACAGGTCTTTTTACTGAGAACTGCAAAAACAGACTGTAAAAAGCTGCTCCAGCCCTGTGGTAGCTCTAAGTTGCAATGGGAACGTGAGCTATGGATCCTCCCTTGGCTTCAGAGAAGTGACTTTCACCTCTTTGTGGTTCACAGGGTAGACTCTGCTCATTTATTTAGTCCAGGCTGTTCTGCCTAAATTAAAGAGGTAGTCTCAAGGGAAGATAAGTTATCCAGAATAATAAACCAATTAGCTCCTACCTGCTGTTGTTTCAAATCAAGGGAGATCTCTGTCTAAGTAAACATGAGGACGAGTATCACACTGTGTAGGGAAGCTGTGATGATACAACTTTGGAATTTTGCAAATTTATAAAGATGTAAGGCTTTCCCATAGATATGGATCTCAATGAACTTCTCTGTTGGAGAAACTCATCCAGAGAAAATGTAGCCAATTGTTAATAGTAGATGACCATTATTTGTGCAGAGCTTTTGGGCCAGTTGGATGATTCTTTGAAAGTGTGAAATGATGACATTCATTACAAGCTGACTGAGATGATCAAAGGTGGCCTATGAAATTACCAAGTCAATGAAAGAGGGGAGATGTTCCAAAGCTCATTTCAGTCCATGCAAACGCCCTCACTGACTTTATCCAGCTTTGCAGCAGGGCCACAGGAAAGTTCTTACAGTTGCTCTGCAAAGTCATGGGCTGTAAACCCACACTGTTGAAGGAAGTCTGATGGATTGTCCAAAGGATTGAGAATTTAGGACAGAATGAATAGATGGATTTTGGTGGTGAGTACTGAAAACATGGGCGTGGAAACAGCTCTTCAGAGTTATTTATGGCCTCCTTCTCAACAAGTCAAACTCACACAAGGAGTGACCATGTGCCAGAACTGGACCCTCAGCACAGGTATCCTGAGCTGCAGCCCATAGAAAAGAAATTTTAGGCCCTTCACTCCATTTTGCCATTTTTTTTCTTAATTCAGTTTTGTTTTAATTTATTTTGATTTTTTTCAATGTCCTAAAGGACCTGTTTCCAAAGCACTGATGTCCTTTGCTGCTTTTGAGCTGAAACCTTCACATACACAAGTTTACACTAATTCAACCCATGTCACAAAATACTATATTTGTCTACTTTCCTCTGAAGGTGTTTTAGACTCCATACCAGTTTCAGATGTAAATTGCAAAGTAGCTTCCAAATATGACAGAGCTGAAATCCTGCAGCATCATCTCATTCATGATGGAGAACCTAAATTCATCTATGAGGCTGAGGGTGGAGAGAGCACCTTGTAACATGAGGACCTAAATTTTCTATTTCTGAAACCCCCCAAGAGAATATTGAAGGGAAAGTAGGAAACCTCTGGTTGTTTATGTTTTTCTGGTTCTAGTCACTTGTAGTTGCTAATATTCTTATTTTCTTTTCCTGACAATATGGAAAATATACTTAGCATATGTTTTCAGGATTCCAAATATCAAATTTACCCCCGTATCAGAAATTCTGCAGAATTTCCTCTGCATTTGGGGTGCAATTCATGCCTTAACTAATTTGAACTGAATCTCTTCCATCTGTGATAGTGGGAATGGACTTTGAGGGCCCATGTTTTCCCTTTCTGATCAGTGTGATGATGGTTTCAGCCTGGGACTGATATAACTGCTTTATTATATACATAAAATTTTAATGATGCATTTTGAGGATAGGGGGAAAAAAAAAAAGATAAGGAAAAGAAGGCAAAAGTCACAATACCAGGAAAATCTGTGGTGTTTTCTGCCTCTTTGA